AGTTAGGAGATTGGTGGGGAAGAAGGACCAGTAGTTGTGAAGTGGGGGAGGAAGAGATTTGGGAATTGTGTGGTTATAGGAAAGATACCTCTTTGAGGAATAATAGTTAATAGGCCTCTATAGTGTTTAGAGTGCTGAAAGGAGGAAGGGAGATTTAGAAGGTTTAAAAAGATTCCTGTTTGGATTTGTGTGTGTGTAACTTTGTTTTAAAGAAACTCAAGATAGAAGTACCATCCTCTGTAACAAAAAGCTTGACAAATTATCTGCAACCATTAAGCTTATTGACTGTTCAAAATAAACAACAATTTCCTGTTTTATTCCAACTGGAGTCTTTGTGTGGCTTTATGAACATCCCATTAAAGGAGGTGGCCTAATGAAATAATAAATTGGTGGCAGCAGAAGAAAGTAATAACTAGGATGAAAAAAGGCTAAATATAATATACAGTGGAGGTTTCCCACTGACTGGCTTTGTGTGAGTGAGAGTGTGCTCTGATCCCCTCACGGCCTCGCCTTGGGCTAAGACTTGTTGTTTGCCTTTTGTCCTCCATCTTGTTTGCGTGGTTGTGCCTGAGGCAAACTCTGCCTCCCCTCAGTCCTCCATTGTGTGTGATTATTGGTGAACTTGATTCCTTTATATTAAGCATGATAACATGCCTAATTTTGTCATTGGTTTAAAGGAGGTGTTTTGTCACATTCCCACTACCCTACTAAAGGGCAATTGATTGTTGTAGAGCAGTGGTTCTCAACCTGAGGTTCCCAGATGTTTTTGGCCTTCAACTCCCAGAAATCCTAACAGCTGGTAAACTGGCTGGGATTTCTGGGAGTTGTAGGCCAAAAACATCTGGGGACCCCAGGTTGAGAACCACTGTCGTAGAGGATCATGGAACCGTATTGTCGAAGGCTTTCATGGCTGGAATCACTCAGTTCTTGTGGGTTTTTTGGGCTATATGGCCATGTTCTAGAGCAGGGGTCCTCAAACTTTTTAGACAGAGGGCCAGGTCACAGTCCCTCAAACTATTGGAGGGCCGGATTATAATTTGAAAAAAAATGAATTAATTCCTATGCACACTGCACATATCTTATTTGTAGTAAAAACACTTAAAAACAATACAATAATTAAAATGAAGAACAATTTAACAATATAAACTTATTAGTATTTCAATAGGAAAGTGTGGGCCTGCTTTTGGCTGATGAGATAGGATTGTTGTTTGTTGTTGTTGTTTTCAAGGAGTTTCAGACTTAGGTTGACCCTGAGTGAGGGCTAGGTAAATGACCTTGGAGGGCCACCGGCCCCCGGGCCTTAGTTTGAGGACCCCTGTTCTAGAGGCATTTCTCCTGACATTTCGCCTGCATCTATGGCAATCTATGACCTCACCTCTGAGGATGCTTACCATAGATGCAGGCGAACGTCAGGAGAAATGCCTCTAGAACATGGCCATATAGCCCGAAAAAACCCACAAGAACTGAGATCATGGAACCATTAGCAAAAGTAAGGGCAGTACCTGTGCCAAGTGAAAAAGTGCCACCCCATGGGTTACCAGGTTGATATCAGAAGTTCTCAAACTTTTTCAGCAACTGAGCCCTTTTTGAAGGAAAAGTTACTTCTTTCTAATGTATATATATTAGGCATGGGCAAACTTTTTGGCACGTGTATTAGAATTTGACAGATGTGCCAGGCCAGCACCAGATGTATGGAGAGTGTTTGTGTGAACCAACTGTGAAAAAAATTGAACAAATTCCTATGCACACTGCACATATTTCGTTTGTAGTCAAAAAGAAAGAAAGAATAACACAATATTTAAAATGAAGGATAATTTTAATCAACATAAACTTGACAGTATTTCAGTGGGAAAACCCCAGGGCCATCCAGTCCAACCCCCTTTCTGCCATGCAGGTAAAGCACAATCAAAGCACCTCCTGAGTTTTGGAAGCAAGGAAATAGGGTTTTGGAAGCAAGGAAGGTGGGAGAAAAGGATCTGGGGGGCAAGGGGGGGAGGAGAAAATTCTGGGGGGTGAGGGAGGTGGGGGAGCAAGAAAGAGAGGGGAAAGCTTGGAGAGGACGGGAGGAGGAGGAGGCAACCACAGAGCCCCACAGTATGTTTCACGGAGCCCCAAGGGCTTCATGGAGCACACTTTGAGAACCCCTGGTCTAGAATTACAGCCTTAGCAGAGCTAGAAACATATTATTCTTTAAATGTATACTCACTTGTAAGTAGGAGAAGGAATGGGAAAATGGGCTATAGCAAACTTCTTGCATTATCACCTTATCTGATTATGAGATTTGGCCATCACAGTAAAGGCACTTTTCTGCTCCAATTTCCTCTTGTGTTACATTAAATAACACAACAGATCTACTTATGCATGTGTGCTTGACAATGGAAGCCTTATTCTCCTTTGCACGTTTCAGCTGTACAGTTGCCTCCTACTCATTCAAGCCACAGGAGCCTCTCCTTCCCTGATCAACCTCTGACTAATTCATATGTATTAAAAATGACTGTATGTATAATAAAGAAAGACACAGTGACTTACTATTTGACTTGTTAATATTTCAAGGCATATCCTTGATGGTCCTCTGATGGATGCAGGTGCTGAATAGTCTAACTTGGAAAGCAGGTTTTCTCACTGAGGTTCATGTTCTCTGTACTAAAGTAATGCTAGAAATAAAGCACAAATAAGGTACCAGTCCATTTATTTATTTTTTATTTATTTATTTACAGCTTTTATATTCCGCCCTTCTCACCCCGCAGGGGACTCAGGGCGGATTACAGTGTGCACATATATGGCAAACATTCAATGCCAATTTTTGACATACAAACATATACAGACATACACAGAGGCTATTTAACTTTTTCTGGCCGCCAGGGGAGCTGTCGCTTTCATCATCCATCTGCGACGCTGATGAAGCACTTCCGCATTCCCCGCATGCTTCCCCGCTGGAATGCTTTGCTGGAGTCTTCTTTATGGCCTCATAAATCAGTTAATTTAGCCTCCCCACACTTTAAGGTGGTACCTTATTTTCCTACTTGACAGATGCAACTGTCTTTTGGGTTGCAAAGGTCGACAACAGGCTACACACAATTGGTTGGAAACCCACTCCAACCCGGGCTGGCTTTGAACTCATGACCTTTTTGGTCAGAGTGATCTTAATGCAGCTGACACTCAGCCAGCTGCGCCACAATCATGACAGCCTGGGATAAATATATGTTGATCCGTACCTCAGATAGCCTGAGAAACACTGAATTGCCATGTGCATCTGCCTGCATGACTTTCACATCAGAAGCCGGTATTGGTGATAACGAAAAGTTGGCTGAACTCTCTTTCCATACAGTACAACCGTACTCCTCGATTTCTTATTAAGTAAAGGCTGTGATATCTTTGGATCAAAACATGTATACAACAGTCAGCTATCTTGAGATTAAGACCCCCAAGTATAATTTCATTCCTGTTTGCTTTCCTGACTCAATTTTTGTTGGAATTGAAGGATAAATTAAATCTTAAAAGTCCCAAATATCGTTAAAGTCAACAGGGGAGTGGGGGGATCCTACAATAATTTGGATGTTGTCCTCACATGTTACTTCAAGTTAACTTGGGGCAGAAATCTGGCCCTAGGAAACTTTTTAATCTTCCCTCAATCTTGTGGATCCTACTGTAGCCTGGGTATGGAAGGATATTTCAAGCCTCTTGTCCATCTCCCTGCCAACAGAATCTGATGACCTAGCTATCAGGTTGCAATATAAGCATGATCTTCAGAATGAATTATTATGTGTGGAAGATTGTTTTGTGCAAAACCTACAATTTTTGTGATAAATAGAAAATGCATGTAATTGCTTAACACAGCCAGAGGGTTTTGGGGGGGGGGGGGGCACAGCAACTATTTTGATAAATATCCCCTGGTGACGCAGTAGGTTAAACTGCTGAGATGCTGAACTTGCGGACCGAAATGTTGGTAGTTTGAATCCAGGAAGTTGGGTGAGCTCCCACTGTTAGGCCTTGCTACTGCCAACCTAGCAGTTTGAAAACATGCAAATGTGATTAGAGCAATAGGTATCACTTCTGCAGGAAGGTAACGGTGCTCTATGTCATCATGCTGGCCACATGACCTTGGAGGTGTCTATGTACAACGCCAACTCTTTGGCTTAGAAATGGAGATGAGCACCACCTCCCAGAGTCGGACACGACTAGACTTAATGTCAAGGGAAACCTTTGCCTTTACTAGGTTGTTGTAGGTTTTTCGGGGTTATATATGGCCATGTTCTAGAGGCATTTTCTCCTGACGTTTCACCTGCATCTATGGCAAGCATCCTCAGAGGTAGTGAGGATGCTTGCCATAGATGCAGGCGAAACATCAGGAGAAAATGGCCATATAACCCGGAAAAACCTACAACAACCCAGTGATTCCAGCCATGAAAGCTTTCGACAATACTTTGCCTTTACCTTACAGACCCCACATTTGTAATATGGAAGAGAATTTTCCTTTCACTAGATCTGGGGTCCTCAAACTTTTTAAACAGAGGGCCAGGTCACAGACCCTCAAACTGTTGGAGGGCCGGATTATAATTTGAAAAAAACATGAATGAATTCCTATGCACAGTGCACATATCTTATCTGTAGTGCAAAAAATACTTTAAAACAATAAAATAATTAAAACAAACATTTTAACAAATATAAACTTATTAGTATTTCAATGGGAAGTGTGGGCCTGCTTTTGGCTGATGAGATAGGATTGTTGTTATTTTTGTGTGCTTTCAAGTCGTTTTAGACTTAGGTTGACCCTGAGCGAGGGCCGGGTAAATGGCCTTGGAGGGCCGTATCCGGCACCCGGGCCATAGTTTGAGGACCCCTTAGATGAAGTTCCAAACACCTCACATACTACCAGCTTCTAAAAATATTATGTACTGGACAATTCTACACAGTTTCTGGACAATTCTTTTTGGAAGAGATAGGAAAAGAAAGCATGTCAGTTTAATTAGCTGTAACTTTCTTCTCTTCTTTGCTTTCAGATATATGTTGGGGAAAGGAGGAAAGCGGAAGTTTGATGAGCATGAAGATGGGCTGGAAGGCAAAGTGGTGTCTCCGACTGATGGTCCATCTAAGGTGTCTTACACCTTACAGCGCCAGACTATCTTCAACATTTCCCTTATGAAACTTTATAACCACAGGCCATTAACGGAGCCAAGCCTACAAAAGACAGTTTTAATTAACAACATGTTGAGGCGAATTCAGGAGGAACTCAAACAGGAAGGCAGCTTGAGGCCTGTGTTCATCGCCCCTTCGCAGCCTACCGATCCTCTGGGAGACAACTTCCGAGAGGTTCAGCCTGCCTTTAGCCATCTGGCCTCGCCGCCAGTCCACCCCACTGACTCAGCAAGCACTACACCACTGGAGTCTTGCCTCACCCCTGCCTCTCTGCTTGAGGATGACACTTTTTGCACTTCCCAGACTATCCCCCACGATGGTCCTATGAAACTACCACCTCCAACTGTCCAACCAGTAAAGGACAGCTTCTCCTCGGCCTTGGACGAAATTGAGGAGCTCTGTCCAACACCTACCTCCGCTGAGGCAGTAGTAGCTGCAGTAACAGCAGACACGACGGCATCAGATCATGCTAAGGAGAACGTCAGTGCATCCTGCATTCAGAAGTCCGAGGGCGTCCAGGAGAGCAGAATAAATGAACCTAAACTGATGGACTCCTTACCTGGTAATTTTGAGATCACGACATCTACAGGTTTCCTTACAGACTTGACCTTGGATGACATTCTCTTTGCTGACATTGATACGTCTATGTATGATTTTGATCCTTGCACATCTTCTACTGGGGCTGCCTCAAAAATGGCTCCTGTCTCCGCAGATGACCTCCTAAAGACGCTGGCTCCTTACAGCACCCAGCCAGTAACCCCCAATCAGCCTTTCAAAATGGACCTTACAGAACTGGATCATATAATGGAGGTGCTTGTTGGGTCTTAAAAATATAGCAACTTCTTAAAATGTACCAGTATCAACACTTGGTAGTATTTTCACAGCCACCCGCCCCCTTCCTTGCAGACCTTCCCAGACAGACAGACAGACAGACAGACAGACAGACAGACAGACAGACAGACAGACAGACAGACACCCACACACCACCAAGCATGAATCTTTGCCTGTCTTCTCTCTCTCTTTTTTTTTTAATGATCACACTAGTTTTTGCTTCAAGCAGAGTTGGAGTGCCTTCATCCATTTATGACCACTTTAAATATTTTTTTGAAAGTGGTTCCTCAAGGGAGACATGAAATCCTGATATAGGAAAAAAAATGCATATTGTAAACAATATTGATATGATTGACAGAAAGAAAGAAAAAAAATGTAAAAGCTAAGCACAAGGATTATGTTGGGGAAAAGCTGTAAATTGCATGTGCATATTTGTCTATTTTTTCTATAAGTTTTATTGCAAGAGGTTAAAATATTATTTAGATAATCGCAGTACCTTTTTGGCATTTTAGCCCTCTCTAGATTGACTTAGCAATTCAGCCTTTTTAGAGGTATTAACGATTCCTCTTTAAATGTTGCATTTACATGGCTCTTTAGAAAACTGCTATCCAAATTTATTTTATATTTTTGTACAGATTCTGCAATTTATGATATTGAGGGGTCTTTTCTTAAAAAAAGGAAAATAAAATAAAAACAAAAGAAAATGCTGTTTATACTCTCTCACACACAAACAAAAAGGAAATAGCTATTTTGGTAGGATTTGCTCACCCAGTTCCTGCATACACCTTCTGATGTACAAGAACTGCTTGTAGTTTTATACAGACTTGTAGTGTTTTATACGCGTATAATGGTGCAAAGAGAAATTTGGATCAAATCAGTCTGCAGTTGGCCTCCCTCACGGAGACACACGCACTTGAAGGAAAAGGCCAAGGGCTCTTCCTCTTACCAGTTTCACAAATATTTACTCCCTGCTGCATACTACTGTGATTAACAAAAAACCTTAGAGCCATGTATATTCCAACACTGATGTCAAACAGTTGGCAGGAAATAGCTGTGAAACTTCATTATGATGATATTCCCTCCTCCTTTCTCCCATCCTACAATTACCAAGACTCCTTTTCTGAAGTTTCTTTAGAAAATAAAAAAATAAGACTTCAGCCACAGCGCAGCACAACGTTGCGTGCCCCTCCGTGTGTATTGGTTCGGATCCTAACTTTTTGCCTCCTACATGGTGGGAGGGTTGCGGTCATGGAAATCCCCTTTTTCGAGTGCAACCCTCTTCCTGTCTACGGCAGGAAAAGTTAGGATTCAGCCCGGAGAAATCAGTGGCCTTAAGCATACTTAACTCTTTTTTGGGATGTGGCCATTGTATTTGCATCTGGTTTTAGAATGTCATGATACAGCAAATAGTAATCTGATTTCAGCGTCAGCGTAAATACCATATGGCTGCAGCAGTAAATTTTTGTTTTGTGTTTCGTCTCAAAAGTAAAGTCCCATTTCCTTTTGGCTGTGTATTGGCCAGCCTTGCTTAAGAGTAAGTTGCGTTGAGTGTGGAGCTTCCTGCCAGGGAAATGCATTGAGGTCTCTTCCCTTCTCCCTTCTGGTATAATGCAAACATACTTTGTTCCTTTGATTTAGTCTTACCCTTGCTCTTTTCTTGGGACGTTATTCTTATTGTTATTATCACTACTCACTGTGTTGACGAGTGCTGAAAAAAAGGCAACTTCAGTATTATTGCAGTGAAATCATCTCTTTTTGGCATTGGATGGACTCACTCGAATATCCATTGCCGTCAGAACTGGAGCCGCTCACATTCTGGACACTTGGTATTTTCTCAAGGGTTGGTTTCCTGACTCAAGCGTGTTACCTGCTTTACACTTTACAAGGCCTATTTTACAATGTATAGACAACTGCAACTCTCTATGCATGTTTCCTTCCCGCCGAAGTCTTCTCATTGCTGCACCTGTTGCCAATTTTTTTTCCTTCTGTATTCATTATGATGTACATTTATTTTAACGAAAACTTGCAATGTTATCATGCCTGTTGCTGAAACTGTTATGGCATATGAATTTAAATGGTACTTAATTGAGTGCAGGTTACAAACTATATTGTTGATATGCATATGGCTTCTTTAGGAATAACTTTTATATTTATTTAAGAAATTTTAAATTATGTTTTATGTAATTTGGCAATATTCAGTCGGTTCTGCTCACTTCTTGTCATGGATTAAAAAAAAGATTGGGTCTTGTCTGCCTCTAGGTAGGCAGCTGTATAAAACTGGCACTTTAGAACAGGCCATATATCTATTTATTTAAATACATGTAATGTATTATGCGTAAGGCACACACAACTCCTCATTCCTATACAAACCTTTGTGAAAATTAGAGAATTGCTCATCAGTGAAAAGTCTCTCATTGATGTAGCAGCATGCTCACAAAAGGAATTCTTGAAGTTGTCCTTATTCGAGAACATTTTGTGTCCATTTCCAGTGTTGGAGAAGGTAGAGCAGAGAAAAGTCAGTGTTTTTAATCGCAAGGTGTAGTAACTTATATAGATTGCCAGATTGTATGTGCAGGGACGTGTTCTTCTGTGTTACTTTGACGCCAACTGTCATTGTGAAACACCCTATCACATAAAGACCTTGTAGTGGTGCCGATTGCCATGCCTCCTCCCCAAATCCCCCCCCCCTCCCCAATACCTGTGTTAATAACATGAAACACAACAGTGACCTAAAATGGGAAATAAGAACAACTCAATTCTAGGTTGTTGTAGGTTTTTCCGGGCTATATGGCCATGTTCTAGAGTAGTGGTTCTCAACCTTCCTAATGCCGCGACCCCTTAATACAGTTCCTCATGTTGTGGTGACCCCCAACCATAACCCTAACATTATGAATCGCCATGTAAATAATGATTTTCATTCACGGGAGCAAATTTGGCACAAATATCCGGTATGCCCAAATTTGAATACTGGTGTGGTTGGCAGGGGAATTGATTTTGTCATTTGGGAGTTGTAGTTTCTGGGATTTATAGTTAACATGTAAACAAAGAGCATTCTGAACCCCACCAACGATGGAATTGAACCAAAGTTGGCACAGAACTCCCATGATCAACAGAAAATACTGGAAGGGTTTGGTGGGCATTGACCTTGAGTTGGGAGTTGTAGTTCACTTACATCCAGAGAGCACTGTGGACTCAAACAATGATGGATCTGGACCAAACTTGACACGGATACTCTATATGCCCAAATGTGAACACTGGTGGAGTTTGGGAAAAATAGACCTTGACATTTGGGAGTTGTTGTTGTTGGATGTATAGTTCACTTACAATCAAGGAGCGTTCTGAACCCCACTAATGATAGAATTGGGCCAAACTTCCCACACAGAACCCCCATGACCAACAGAAAATACTGTGTTTTCTGATGGTCTTTGGCGACCCCTCTGACACCCCTTCGCAACCCCCTCAGGGGTCCCGACCCCCAGGTTGAGAAACACTGATCTAGAAGAATTTCCACCTCACTACCTCTAAGAGTGCTTGCCATAGATGCAGGCGAAACGTCAGGAGAAAATGCCTCTAGAACATGGCCATATAGCCCGGAAAAACCTACAACAACCCAGTGATTCCGGCCATGAAAGCCTTCAACAATACAACTCACTTCTAGTTTCCAAAGTGTCTTCTTCCAGATCAGTTGGCAGGGATATTGATGGGCAAGGTCCTAGTTCTACATGTTGATATTGATAGTATAGGATATTTAACCACAGTCCTAGGAAATATCAGGCTGTTACGCAGCTTAATGTCTCAAATATATATTTATACTCTAAAGTTTGTGCAGTTGCAAAAATTGTTAAGAAAAAAGTTTAAGCAAGCACCATACTTTCACAGTCTCTAGAAACCGATTTTACACTTAACTTAAAAACAATTGCCCTCTCCTCTGGACTTGCCAATTGAGCGTTTAAATAAGTACCATATGTTGGGCAAGTGTTCAAACAAACACCATTTTAGAGCAAAGCAGCCAGTTTGTTTTTCAGGCACTAGCCTAACTCTGCACAGTAAATCCACTTGGAGCGTTGAAGTCGCAGTCAGTCATCTTAGCACATCCTTTGGGACACACTGGTGATAATTGTGGCAGTCAATGTAACTTTTTGTCACAATTGTCTACCAGAGTTACAAATTTTCCTTGTCCTCCCATCCCCAAGCACAGAAATGTTGTGGAAATGTTATTGACACTCACGTGCAATGAAGTGACAAGAGGAGAGCAGAATTAAAATGAGCTTTTTTTTTTTTTTTTGGAATTTGAAGTGATTTTTTCCCATTTTGTTTTCCATAAGTTATTTATTCCTTTTTTTGTTTTCCTGTTGTACATATATTTATTTTATTGTGAAGCTAACAACATCTGGATTGTAACATGTACAGAATGTATGGTAGGAATGTATTCTCTTGTAGGAATGTAAAATCCTTTCAAGAGGGGTGTGAAAGGTTTGGAGATATTAACTGGGTTCTGTTTAGGATACATGCCGTTTGCAAGATCACTCCCCCCCCCCCTCCCATGTCCACTTTTCTCTCCTATGAGTAGATCTGGTTGGATAAGACTTATGCAAAAAAAAGGTTTATAAACTTAGTTGTAAAAACAAAGCTATTTTGTATTGTTCGTGTCTTTTAAAATGGCCAGATCCTATTTTGCTCAACAAAATATAGCCTTTATTTTAGTGACATCACCTTTCTTCAATGCAATCCTATATCTGCTCAGCCAGAAACTAGTCCCACTGAATTTAGTGAGATTTATTTCCAGGTAAGCAGTTCTAGGATTGCAGCCTTAGAGACCTAAAGCAATGTGTTCTCAACAACTGGTAGCTTGAATGGTTTCGGGGATCCCCTTAAATCAGGCTGGGTATGTTTATGTTTAGCCTTTCTCTCCCTCCTGCCACGGCGTGCCAATAGAATCAAATCAAAGAGTTGGAAGAGACCTCATGGGCTATCCAGTCCAACCCCCTGCCAAGAAGCAGGAATATTGCATTCAAAGCACCCCCGACAGATGGCCATCCAGCCTCTGTTTAAAAGCTTCCAAAGAAGGAGCCTCCACCACACTCCAGGGCAGAGAGTTCCACTGCTGAACGGCTCTCACAGTCAGGAAGTTCTTCCTTGTGTTCAGATGGAATCTCCTCTCTTGTAGTTTGAGATTCCATCTCAGTAGATTTGGGTGCCACACACAAAAAGACACAGCAAGACCCAACAGAACAATCTAGCTTCCCAGTCAACAGGGTATAGTAGGGCAAGCGAGCCAGTTTCATGCCAGTTTCCAATCCACACAATTAAGTTCCTCATGTGACAAAACAATCTCATGTTGCAGCCAATGAAAAATGGCAGACTTTGGGATTAGGAGACTGTGTGCACCTCAGCTGGACTGGCACCACTGAGGGAGCTTGGTTTCCATTTTTCAGATGAATCACAAAATGTCGCCCATTATTACAATGGTTCTCAACCTGGGGTCCCCAGGTGTTTTGGCCTACAACTCCCAGAACTCCCAGCCAGTTTACCAACTGTTAGGATTTCTGGGAGTTGAAAGCCAAAACATCTGGGGACCCACAGGTTGAGAACCACTGTGTTAGAGAGTTACATTAGAAAGGAGGACTTTGACACGGTTATATTCACCTTGCACATAAAAACAAATAAGTTGGTGTGTCTTCATCTCCTACCATCCCTTTTTTATTTTGACGGACAAGGCAGGATAACAATCATGACATGCCTCAAAAAAGTATTTTCTTGAGAAGGCTTTTTAAAACCGTGCGTAATATTAGTGCAGGTGCATCTCTTTGTGGACCACTCTCAAGACTGGCAACTGAGCAATGTAATAAAAATCAGGATAGGAAAGAAAAGGTGTCCGTCACAGGGATTTTGAGATCTGCCCCCTTTTAGATGGGACTGCAAGCCTACTTGGATCTCTTCCAGACCTGTGGTCAAGGGAGCCTATGTGAGTCAGAGATACTGAATTTCTTCAATTCTAAGATACACTTTTTCCCTATATAAACAACTCTAAAATGCGTGTTTAAGAATCGCAGGTGTATCTTTACATGTTTTTGTTGGGTGGTGGTGGCGGTACTGAAATTGGGGTATGTCTCAGAATCTGTATTGTCTTATAGTTGAAGAAATACGGTAATATCAAACAAAAGTTATTTCAGCAAGCAAACAACGTCCCCATTGGACATAGGAGTCCTTTACACCGCTTTGTCCCCGATTTAAAAGGCTAATATACATTTGGGGTTTCCTATTGAAAATATGAAAAATAGACAAAATTTCCAATGGCTTTCTCAAGTGAGTTTTGAGGCAGGATTAAATAGCGCTGACAAACATAACTCTTCCTTAGGCTGGATTTCAATCTGCTCATAATTTTCTATCTTTTCCACCTTTTAAAGAGCAGTTGATCAAAAAGGGGACAAAAAGATGGAGAATTGTGTATTTACGCTACAGAACCCGATTTCACTATGGCACGTTGACATACACAGAGAGGCATATGTTCTTCCTGGAGAAGTCGTTCTGTGTGGGAAGCAGTTCTCAGGGCCCTCACCACTGTTTGATTTGCAGGATTTTTTAGGGGAAGGCATGACAGCTGGTACACATCACTATCCATTTGTAGAGTAGCACCATCTGTGCCCTCTGATTTATACGTTGTTGCCTGGAACAGGCTGTGCAGATGCCTTCCAACACTGTGCTCAAGCATACTTGGCTGGTGGGCACAAATGTGGCACTCCAGGGACTTTGTAGGGTGGGGAGCCCAGTCACCAAAGCCGGTGCCATTGCAGGAGGGAGACTCCAGCATAGAAAGTGTATGCCATAAATTACCTTTACTCGCTCTGGCTGCCGATGTCTACACAACTATTCAAAGTTACCAGCTTGAGAATAAATTATTACCAGTTTGAAAATAAATTGTGCTCGTATCATTTTTCCTACTGTCTTACAGACATGCAAATTGTAAATTTACAATTGGAAAAAAATTAAAAATGTAAACGCCACTCTCGTGAAATTGGCTGTAGAATATAATTGTGTCTCTAAAAACAACAACCGAAGTCAACAGGATCTTGCTGTTATTAAGATTTCCATGCTTATAATATTACAGCTAAATTATTTTTGGAAATTTTAGCTCATTCTATAGCTTTTTTTTCGTTTTTGCTATTATGTGAATTTGGGATTTTGAAAAATAATAAATCAAATCTTGTAGATGCTTAACGGTGTAATCCATACCGGACTCTCTAAAGGCAGAGATTCTGGCGGGGTGGGAAAGCAAGAAGGTGTAAATAGTCTGATACGTTTGGTGCATAGTTTTAAAACAAAAAAGAAGGCTGTATTTTCTCCCATCCCACCCTTTCCCCCTCTCCCAACCACAGACCTTAGAGCTGTGCCTTTTCTATGCAATATTACAGACATATACATCTGAAACCAGATTACTGTATTCACTTGTAGGTATGGGCTGTAATCAAAAATACAGTTGGGCAAATTACATGGAAATGAGCAGTCTTACTTTTGTAGTTTTATATTATACAATAAACAGTTTAAAAAAAGAAACAAAGCTGTCTCTGGTTCAGTTTTTAAGTAGCATTTTAGGTGAAAAAGAAAGACCCACCGAATGAGGAGAGCTTACACAGCATACAACAGAGAGTGGGGTGGGAGGCAACTAAGGGTGAGCGA